TAAAAATTATTTGTTAACAGTTCCGCAACTTTATCAAAACATTAAAGAAGAAAAAATTACTGGATATTTGCACCTTACTCGGCATCAGGTTTATTACTGGGCAAAAAAAATTGCTACAAAAGAATACAAATTAGCTGACAACCAATTAGAATCAGCACGACGATATTTAGAAAATCATTTAAATTTTCAAACTCTTTTGTGATGAACATTCATTAGCATTTTTGACGCCTTTACCCGACAATGCTATGGATACAATCATTGTAGATGCCACATATGGCACAAATAGATTAAAATTTGAATTATATGGAATACTTGGAGTTATCGATGGTTCTGGTTTTCCATTATCATATTTTTTTTTAGAACCAAAATCCCCTCAAGGCAAAACGCAAGCATTAACAAAATGGTTTTACTTTTTAAAAAACAATGGCATTCAAAAAGTCAAAACCTTTTTGTTTGATAAAGATCATGGGCAAATTACAGCTATCAATACAGTTTGGACAGATGCAAAAGTCCAATTATGTTATTGGCACGTTTTACGAGCTGTTAAAAAAAAACTTTCTAGTACTGGAATCATACATAAATATTACAATGCACATGAAGCGCACTCCTTTTGTTCGGTTATTAATTCTAATTGGCAACCTACTCATCAAAATCAAAACCCTGATCTTCAAGTATATAATAAAAATAAAGTATTTTGTCAAAAGAATTTTCGCGAGAATATTATTCAACTTATTCGCATTCACTTTTCACGACATTCTAAAATTCCTATAGAAAATACAGGTTTTTTAAGTGCAGAACAAATTTGGATTACTTGCATTAGAGAATTGTTTGAATTTTGCTACAAGAATAATCTTTGCAACGTATGGGCTTACTTGTGGCTCAAGTGGTATCAACCTAATATGTGGAAGCTTTGGGCACATGCATCCAGTACACAAATTAATTTATTAAGAAGTACTATGGCTATTGAAAGCCATTGGCGAGTTTAAAGCATGATTTTTTTTCAAACTTTAATTATGCACGATTAGATCTAATTGTTTATACTATTGTCTCTAAAGTTATTCCACGACAGATTGATCGGTTGCAATTACTACGTGATGAATATTGTACAACCAAATGGCGTGAAGAATTTCGAACTGAATGGAAAAAATTGGCCAATCAAATAATTAATAATAATAATTCTAACCATATTACTGACTCTCTTCGCTGGATTTGTTCATGTTCAGGTTTTGTTTTAAACAGGTTCTATATTTGCAAACATTTGGTGCGAATGCATAATCATGTTGAACCTGGTTTTTTTAAAAAGGTAAAATCCTGTTTACTGTTATTTATTATATTATCGTTATTGTCATTATTGTAAAATATATTTATTTAACTAAGGTTACCCAACAAGAATCTTATCCCCTTTTAAAAGTTAAAGAAGAAAATGCCTTTTTTAATTTACCAAAAAATATATATACTGCAGTCGAAAATCTCACTCCTAAAACCCGCAAATTAATCATTTATAACAGAAACAATAATTGTCAAGAATCTTCAATAAATCATATTCAGGAACAAGAAATTATCAATTTGAATGAAGAGAATGTAGTTGAAATTGATGATAGTAATAAAGATCAAGACCTAACTTTATTTAAACAACACAAGCATGAAATTTTTGAATTATTCGATTCAGCAAAAAGGATACTTGAAGAAAATGAAACAAACCTGAATGGAAATAAGTGGCTTGATGGTATTGATAAGAACTTCGAGCCAATGCGTAAATTTGTTGAAGACTGTAATAAGTTTAAAAGACGAAGACAAATTCCAAATACTTGGAAGGATCGTAATCATAATACATTCTGGTTACAATAATGGTTGTTATCATAAATTAAAGAAAAAAAAAGTTTCAAACGTATTGCTTTAATTATAAAACAATGAATAGCGGCCTGTTTCAAAAATGCATGTAATTTTTTTTATTCATATGTATTATACAATTCGTAGAAATAAAATTGATTATTACCGTAAAGTGCAAACTGATGTATCCAGGTATTTACAATGTCTTGAGCTATACCCAGGGTACAAAAGTAGGAAGAGATAAATTGTCAAATTAATAAATAAATAAATAAATTTTTATATAATACTTGGTATTCTCAAGGTATAGGGGTACATTGTACCCTAATATAAAAAAAAATTTAAGATATCTTAATCGTTATAGGGATCTACCGTATGGCACTTTACAGTAATAATCACATGATCTGTAACTTTTTTGGGTGGCGATTTAACCCCGGTTCATAATGCATATACCCGTTTTAGTAATCGCTAAATTATAACCTGTGAGAAAAATTTTATTTCAAAATTAATAAAATTACGAGTGTCCTGTCTATTCCAAATTATCTGATTAGTCTGAACCTATAAGTGCATAACTCATAACTTCAAATAGTCAATACGTGGGAAAATGGTATCATTGGCGATCATGATGTAATACTATATTAAAAATTTCCCATAGATACTGTCTACTTACATTAAAATATCGATACAATTATTATATATATTGGCACTCGATTAATAAATCATATACTGGTATAGTATAAGTAAACAGATCAATATAGTACATGCTAATTTATAAACTATACTTATTAGGCTTAGAAATTATAGCTGATTAATATCGGTATAGTGTAGTTTTTAAAAAATTGAGCCTGTACTATACAGATCCGCTCACCTATACCAATCCGCTGTAATTTCATTCGAGTCAACAAAAATCAACAGATCAAAAAGGTGTTATGCGGGGCAATGTGCTCCGTAAAAAAGCAACAGGAATAGGACCAATCCTGTATAATCAAGATTACAGGAGGAGTATGATGATAATCGACCTTCCGCATATAGCAATTATAACTTAATAATGAATACTGTGAGAAAATGGCTGAGTCAGTGTAGTTGTAATTCCTACCAGCCATCGCCAATTCAGCTCTAACTGCCATCCTACATTATGCAGGCGAGAAGCCACCGCCCAGCATTAAGCCGCACAAACTCAACTGCTTATCTGTTATAGTGATCTCTGAATATTCCATTTTAAGGATTTTAATGCTAACAATAATCAATCATAACTAAAATTCAACCAAAACATCAACTGGATCATTCCAATATAAATATACGTTAATACTTTTTTGTTATTAATTAATAACGTAATCATCTTGCATTTTCTGAGGTTTGATACCCACATAATCCAAATTGTTATCGTAAACATAATTATGAGCACATGAACTAATCAATATCATCTGACATATATTAATGAATGAATTTGACCAATATTGACACAAGTAATGCAAGTGGCGCCCTATCTTCTATTGTTATAACTAATTTTCACTTATGGTGATATCACCTGGTATTATAAACTTTTTTAAAAATTAAATAACCTTAGGTTTTGAGGTTAGAATAAGCCTTAGATAAAGGTAAGTGTTTGCTTATACCAGTATGATCACGTTTCTTGTGTAATATGAAATGTGGTAGGGATGGTTTCCTTCAACTTTTTTGATGTTTTTTGCAAAATCCTTTTTTAGTAGGAGTAATGATTTTCATTTATTCGTTTTTGGAAGAAGTTAAAATTTTAACTTACCATATATTTAAAAGATACCGATATAATTTTATATGCAAATCGCTCACTATGATGCAAAGCGGCATCACTGATTATTAATTTCGAAATTCATCATTATGATGCAATGTATTAATTTAAAAATTTATGATGCAATGATATTAATTTAAAATTTTATGATGTGAATCTGTTACTGTATTAATCGAATTTATATTCAATTTTTTTTAAAATTTGCATTTTCGTTGAGGTTTTGTCGTTTTATTTTCTCTATAGTTTTTTTTTTTTGGATATGATTTTGTCCTTCAAAATGCAGGTATTTTCTGGTAAATGTTGTGATTCTATAGTAGGCAT